ATATATATATATATATATATATATATATATATGGCCCAAACGGATCTTCTTAAGTTTATATATATATATATATACTAACGTATTTAGCGTAAAGCCTGCCTAAGAAGGATATTTGGTTTACGCTATACCCAACCGTGTTGTGGTGCTCTAGACAAATAAAGTTTGATTGGATTGACGGCATAAAAAAACAACCGACCGCGTGACAGCCGAGGGGAGAAGCTGAAGTTTCCGTACGCGTTAAACCAGTGTTTAGGCACTGATGGAGTTCAAGTTTATTGAAGGAAAGCAGGTGCAAAAAGAACATCTGAACGCTTACTTGAACAATACAAAGAGACGTCAAGTTAGAATGGACACTAGGGTGAGGATGGAACAACATGAAAGGCATGCGACGTTGAAAGGCTGATTTCCACGATGAACTTACTCAGTCTTCACAAAATTACAGTCTCAAACCTGTTGAATTGTGATCGACCATGAAATGCAAAAAGTAGGAGCATCACAACCCCCGCTGTTTCCAGGTAGCAAACCTACTTGATGTAAATAAATAGGTTCACGGTCAATCAAATCGAACAAATAAGTTGTTTGAGATGCCTACCTGGTGAGCCCCAAGAAGTGAAACTGGACGCGGTCTGTCAAAGAGGTTCCAGTACTCACATGAGCCGTGTGTGCCATCGAAAGAATATACTGCGACTACCGTATCAAAGAAAACACAAAACACTAGTCACTCAAGGGCATGGATGTGAGATGGCTACTGTACGGCTTTTAGCTACTTTGGCAGAAATTTGCACAGGCACACTTGATAGTGCACTCAACGCACGAACTGCCAGGGCCAATATTGCATTAGGTCGCCTTGAGAAAGAAGTCTAACATGAGGAAGATTTCCGCATGGATAACAATAATATGGTGATCGAGCTGTTGAGTAGTCTCAACTGCTGTACGGTAGCTTCGCTGATTTTCTATACAGTATACACAAAATCCTGTAGACCAAGGGGGAGTAATGCGTACAGAAGACCGGAGTTCTTTGAAGAACGAGTAGGGTGCACCATGATGCATAGCAAGAAGACAAAGGCTTCCATATGTTGACATTCCGCTTTTACCTCTGTAGTCGCAATTCCAAAAGCCGCCGGTTCTGTGTCGCAAATATAGACAAAAACAAAACAGTGAAACGGAGCGCATAAGGTTCAGTTCTCGAATCCAAGGCAAGCCGACAGCTTGTGCCAAGGTCTTTTGTCCGCACAAGGTGCGGACCCACAAGGTGGGTAAGTATTGATTGAGCAACACGGCTTCACCGAAAGCTAAAAATTTAGAGTTGAAATTCTGCAGTGAAATTATGAACGCTGTAGCGGAGTCAACTTTGTGACTAATGGACCGACTGGTGGCCTGCAGGCTGATACCCGATGACCTACCTCATCGACCGGTCACCTGACAAATAACGAGGCAAATGTCCTGAGAACGGTTCGCATAAGATCCTATCTGTTATGCTAACTCATGTTTGACCACAACTGCATGTGAACTTGTACACAAGGTGTGTCACGCAAAGTGAGGTAGATCGGGTACAATACGCGACACACATCGGAGATCGAATCACCTCATCGATGAGAACCGAATTAGTGAAGTGGCTAGCTACGTACGATCGTTTACACCAGGTAATTTGTACCATATGACTGTGATTAAGTGACTTCCCTTAGACTGCAGTCTGATAAAAACTATTTTCTTCTTGCTGAGTAGTCAGGCTCCCACTTATACCATGATGTGGTGTGGATCATTATAAATTTCTCTTGGTAATCGTTAAAAATCACCCTCCTATTTAGGAACTCTTCCTCCTGAAGAGTCAGGAGTACAAGTCTGGTCGAACAAAGTGCGCACCAGGTTTCGTTTACAGGCTAAGGGAGTAAAACTGGAAACTACCCAGTCTGTGAGGGCTTGCGGTTAACTGAACGCTTAAAAATGCCACCTGGGTGCCTCGCAATGAGAATACCCAAAGGTGCAGGACTGTTATCGGTCTCTGCCCAAAAGACACTGAAAGGTTGGGATGTCATCTACATTACGTTTTTGGAATATGACATCGAAGATCTGGTTGGACAGCTGCCTTTCTATCATGCCTAAAGAGACATCTGCCAGTAAAGGTCCAAGTGGGCTACTGAATGACACGCCACTGAATCGTTTATGATCTTAGACTTCCAATCCAAAGCGGATGTTTTCAGTACACAGGACGATCAGTTATCTTAAATGTACTAAGGGGATACTTATGGTAGCCTGGTGGATGTTAGCAAAATCGCCTAAACAGTCTACAGTCTGGCGCAAAGGGACGCTGCTATATGAGGAGTTGATGTCTAGAGAAAACATCCTTTGTGAACTTACCAAAAAGTGGTCAGGAATTTGCTAATTTTTCACACAGTTATGTGCAGGGAAATCACGTGTAGGATTTGAAATTTAGGCCATCTGGCTACCCTGTTATAGGCGGAATAATGAGTAGGTCTCACAGGTGCCCCACATTGGAGGATTTTGGCTGCTATCCGTAGGCGTGGCGCTTTAGTGCCAATACGTCCGAGTTGGTTGTAAAGTTTGGTGAAAATAAAACAGTGCAACAATGAAGTTTAAAGTTTTCGCCCAATCTGCTCTTCTATTACTGGTTCATACCAAGTCCATTGTCTTTTCGGAACTCCCCTTCATCACAGAGTAGTACCCTAATTTTAGCTATATATTCCACCTTTCCAGGACCAGAACACCTGATCCTTCGTTCCACACGAGAAACGCAACATCGCTCATCGGTTGTGATTGCCCAATTGGTTCTTTGTTAGGACATCAAGGTTGATGTATACATGGGGGTAAAAGCTCAGGAGATTTGTCCACAAATTTGACTTTGGACCATGAAGCGTTCTTAGATGACGCAGGACAAAAAGATCCTCTAAGTGGCCATTAGGATTCCAGAAATAAACGTTGATCTGGTGCCTTTGGACAAGTTTAGGAGGTATTTTGAATATTGTTCCCAGGAATAAAACCACTGTGTTCTGGCGAATGAGTGAGTTGCTAGATTCTTGACGGTAACCGTAGTTGAATTTGCCAAAATGGACATTTTCCCAATTTCATGGTGGTATTGTTTCCTGCTAGCCTCATTTGAGATGGATGTCCAAAAAGCGCATCCGGAGCAAACATATTAATAGTTAGCCAAATAACGGATTTGCAGCACGAAACGCTCAAATCACTGCCGCTCGCGTAGCCTTGCACCACATGTCCGGGCGAACGTTCACAGACGAGAACCAACGCATACCCGAATTATACGATTTTTTACGTATGCGAATCCCAACGTATTGTGCTGTGCATCCCTATTCTGCCTTTTAGTTTAGCTTGCTTCATTAGACCGTTCTCACTAGTGAAACGATTACCCACTGTAAGCCTCTATGCTGAGTTTGCATCTTTGTACTATGTCACAAAGATAACCATGACTAGAGTAGAGAAGAATCAGCAGAGCCATCTTGCGCCGCAGGACATGTTGAACTCAGGCCATCGTAGACCAGTGCTAAATGTCCCTAATTCTGGCAGCCTCGCGTTGTTTTGACATAACCCCATTAATAAAGTTGCTGAAAACCGTCCAGAAGTCCACTACCTGTACCACCTTTCTCGGGGCTCATCAGGTCTGCGTATTTCCGAGATTCCGTCAACCACATTCCCTGCACTAACACTGCGATTCGATCGGTGACGACAGAGCTGAGTGCGCTATGTTATTCGTATGACTACTCACTTCATCACATCCAGGCGCTGTGACTTCATTCAGCTCGACCTCGCGTCTGATCAGAGGTGTGGTAGCAACAATCTGAGGTAAGCAGCATCACGTGACTGATCAGTTCACTACGAGTTTCAGCTGAAAACGCAATGGGCGATTTTATAGGACAAATAGCCCTCCGATTTACAAGCCGATTAGCATCGTTATATATCTAGCTCATTGAAGTGGTGACTGACGTTTTTGTCAGCCGATGATTTCGTGGAAAACACTCTGCGTAACACTCAGCAGTTGTCCTTTTCCTTCATTCACACCTTTTTATGTGTGTAGGCTACCAAACTACGCCTACTGAGAACACGCAGTTCAGTGGATAACATGCCACAGCGTGCAACGATTCAGATACCAACAACCTCGTCGTTTCAGTTTTCGCTACCGTTAGCAGAAAGTTTGTGCACACATCGGAGCACGTTGTGCTGCGTGGGGTCCGCCCCACGTGACGTCGCTGCAGTATCTGGTACCAGAAGCAGAGTTAGCAGGTTCACGTTAAATTGGAAACAGGGAGGCGAAACCTCGAGCGAAGAACTCTCTCAGGTAGAATGCCATCACCAAAACACATTTTGCCCAAGCTACTGACTGTGAAGTCAGTCAAGCTATTGCCGAATTCCCGCAGATCCACTGGTATGGAGAGCGTTCTACCTGGTAAAGGTCTCCCATCGACGTTTCACCGGCCTATCTCCACTTTTATCTGAACTTGTTAACTCTGGTTCTGGTACCAGATATTGCAGCAACCTCAAGAGATTCATATCAGGTGCACACTCAGTAGCTCCTTTCAGGATTTTGTAGTATGGAAAATTTTGAAATTAGTTCATCCGAGGATGTATATATGATGCACAAGTAGCATCATGTCAAAAAACTTACTTCGATATCTCTAATATCCTGCCATTTGAGACAAGAGTTGGACTATGACTGGCTTACTCTCTTGGAGAGTAAATTATACGAGAGATTCAGTGAGTATCCAGTTGAGAGGACAGCGCCACCTAATGCGCTAAACTCAGGCGGCCGCAGACCAATGAACATCTTCACGGATGTGCTTGTAGTGCTTCCATAAGAGATAAGCGTTTACAGGAAACATCATTGTTTTATCAGGCGCTACCGTGTCCTCTGGCGACTGATAGATTGAAAAGCAGTGCACAGAAGAAAAACAAGCATCGGTGTTTAATTACAATGTGGTAGGTGTCGCAAAGTGAACGGACAGTCAAAGCATCCTAGCGCAAAAGGTGACTAGTCTCACGCTTACTGTTTTTATCCACACCGTAGAGAGCAACAAGGATGCCACGCTGCCTCGAAGGGATTGGGTCGTAGCGCGGTACGACAGTCAATGAGCTGTACAGCCGATGCAATGTCCCCACCAGAATGGCCAATGATTGGTTGTCTGGCAGGTATGGTCTCCCAAATTCAGGATAGGAGGCATACGGCCGCCTTTTCCTTAAGACGAATTGCCGTAGTGGTCCTACACACGCTTCCTTGCAGTTGGGTTTTTGAGTTACAGATTTCTTTTCGGAACTACAAGTTCGTCCGGCTATGCTTCGGCACTCTAAGAGTACCTCAGCCCATACGTAGCCATAAGACACATCAGGAGTAGCTTAGCTGCTGTATACTGCAGGGTGGATAGGCGGAAACATGAGACTGCTAGGCCCTCATCTGTCTTTATTATCCACACTATCGTCTCCTAATCTTCTCCCTGTCTCACTTTGCTGTGGATTCAAGTTGTAGGCACCTGAAATCACCAACCATGAGAGCATCCAGTATTTTGCCAACGCTCATATTTACCGTTTGACATCCATTTATCAAACCGCCTATCCCCAGTTTCATTGCGGCCTTTATCGGTAGAGACTCACCCAGTTTGGCCAACATACTGCTCTTGCGAGTAATTTTGGTACTTTGCTGCATTTCCGCAAATCGTGTACGGCATACAAGTTTGATAATTACGTGTATGGCATCCTCTTCATTCAAGTATCACAAAATCCATGAGATTCTGCAGGGACCGATGCCAGTATTGGCACAGATCTAAACTCTATAACTGAGGTTTCCTTGTCTGTATGCCTGAAAAAAAGTCGTCTCTGGGCCACCGATTTTCCACTTCAATAAGGTGTCGGAATATCGATCGCTCGACGTCTGGACACAAACCGACTGTGGTTTTGATTGTGCGAAGGACACCTTCTGCCATGAAGATTTCAGCTCAATGGCACATAAGAGTATTTCCATTCAACACTACATCACATTGAAACTGATCGAAATTTTTACCATACGCCTTCGAGGAGTAGAAAAAACAAGGTGGCGTGGCTCTGAGACCCATTCTGGCTACCTACTACAAACTCACTGAACGATTATTAGGTGTTATAAGACTAACTCGTTTATTCCCTATTCATAAAGGCCCACCTCTACATCAGAACGTAAAATAATCGTGGCCCTTTATCACTGTTCCCCTTGGTTTAATATGGCCGGTTAGGATACCTGAAAGAACTGATACTCTTGTATATAGAAAATGCAGTGTTTGAATTCGAAGATGAGGCACGTAGACCAATCGGTGGAGTGGATACGGGTGGTCCTGCTCAAGCAGGTGTCGCAAAGTGAACAGACAGTCAAAGCATCCTACCGGAAAAAAGCTTTCTAGTCTCACTCCTACTGTTTTCAACCACACTGCATCTATCTTTATTAAGGAAATAATCATCTCCCGGTCGTAGTTCTGTCGGTAGAGCATCTCCAAGTGATGTTACAACAGCAACACAATCAGTTCGAAAACGCCCAAATAAGGCTTACTGAATGTCTGATTGCAGTATGTCGGAGAAAGCTTCGAAAATAGATGGACCTCCGTCTCCTCCCATAGAGGCCAGTGTTAGCTCGATTACTGAACATTGTCCGTTTACATATTTTACAATCCGCAAACTCCTTCTTTACCTCAGATCCCACCATGATCCTGTCCCAAATAATCGATGAGCAATTCCTTGTTCGTTTTTTATGGCCAATGTCTAGGGAAGGGGTACCGTAGAATTAAGTACTTAGGCCCTCGAGCGAGCGCTTTAAACTCAGCACCATGGTTGATGATCAATTCCAACATCTCGTCCTCGGTCTTCAATCGCCGCACGACGCAGATATTCGGACCCGGATGCTGAATCGAATTGAACAGAACTCAGAGTTAACACGTCAGGAACTGACCATTAAAGATCAGATAAATATCCATCTCAAGGCTGATGTTGAAATTCTCGTTAACTTTCAATTCTCTTTGTCTGGTATGGGGCACAAGTTAACTTCCAAAAGGCAGTAATATTTCAAACGGACCCTAAGAATTCCGCACATACCCTGGTTGGTTTTTTGACGAACGTCACTTTTCATACCAGCGTCGTTAGCGAAACCACATGTTCAGCAAGTACAGTCACAAAGAGGAATGCTACGGAGACAAGTTCATGAGCTTGGGCAAACATCGGCCCGACGAAATGACACAGTCAGTGGTGATTACAGCTATATTCAGTAGTAAATCCCCCAGTCGATGAAAATTCGTCACAGTATGTATGAATGGTACCCTTGTTATCCTTTCATTAATGGGGATTCTGACCTCACTCTTGTTTCCAAACGAACCTGGAACGTATTTTGAAGACCACCAGTGGAACACACCGTTCGTGATGCGTCTAGTGGAATTCTCAGACTGACAGGAAAGGTGAATTGCTCCGAAACGTTCGATGGGGTTACAGCTGAGGCCAAACCGTCGATCTGTTGGAACATACGCAGCACAGGGACTATCCAGCAAGTAGCCTCTGCCTCCGGTTATCCTCTCACCATAATCTATTTTGGGGAATCCTTCCAGAAGCTTGCAAATTTGTACCTACGTCCCCACCCTCCAATTTACAGCCCATGTTCAGGCGTATTACTTCCCCATTGTCCTGAGATTCAAGAGGAAGCGAATGGTAGAAGGGTAACCACAACAGTCACAGATAATAAACACTGATTCAAGGATGTGGGGAATGCTGCCCACGGTGGATGCAGGGTCAAATATTACGTCAAGCACGAGGAACAAATCAGATCACAGGCATAACCACGTCGAGTGAATCAACTGCAGGCAGAAGACGGTGGCCTCATAAGAGAAACATGTCGAACGGAACACCAGATGGCGATGACATATCTCCGAAATGTAAGGTCCTGTACTGTTAGTCGGTTCATTCTAAGGCGTTTAATCCTAAAATAGCATCATCACTGCTTAGTGGAGAAAGATCGTGCTACACAGTACAGGTGAACCAAACAGAAGCACACTGATATAAAAAAGTGATTACGAGGAATCGATTACCCACGGCGATCCCCAGAACCAAGACTTAATAAGGAATGAGGCTGGCGAGCTGCCATCCTGTATAAAACAAGGACATCTGGATTTACTGAAAGGTCACTGAGTATAGCTGACGTGAGTGTAGCACTTCAGAGAGCAGACAGCTAAACTCAATATCGTTGCATTTTCGGGGACGCTTTCATCCCCATATGAGTCTAAGCATGAATTTTTACATAAGGTAAGGGGTCATGGATTTACCCACCGGATTCATTGAGCAAAAACGAACCGCCAAAGACTACAATTAAAGTTTCCGCAGTAGCTTGGTGTGCACGGGACACTGGGCATAGAATAGATCCGAAAAATTGGATCTTGAGGCAGAGACCAAGGTCACACCAGAGCGACTGGTAATCGTGGCATTGGAAATACCCAAGAATCCCAGACTGAATCTCAACAAAAATATTGTAAACAGTGATTTCCGATCAGCCTGGTCGACACGCGGTGGTTCACGGTCACTAGGGCAGATAATTCTGTCGTACAAGTAGTCCGGGTCTAAAGTACAAGGACCAATTAAACCAAAATCCCCTTTATCTGTCACCCCTCAGCTTAATAGTCCCAGCACTCACTAGACGAAAAAGGAACCCAACAGAAATCATCAAGTTTAATGGCCTTGAACAGAAAACCAAGACCTTCAACCCGATTAGGTTTGAAATTTTGGCCTCAGTCCATCCGTCGTAAGTCATACTCATCCTCACTAACCAGCACAAACTTTTGAGCAACATTTGGCACCGATTGTGTGTAGCGGGTTTTCGGTTCTGCGTCTTCCCTAAAGCTCGCTTATGGTCGTAAATTATTCATCTGGAGTGGCGAATCTTTTGTATCAAAAGTGGTTTATGGCCTGGCAACTAATCCACAGGTTATTCATCATGTTTCCAAAAAAAGTTCCATTTAGCAGTTTGCCATGAAACAGCTTACCGTCTTTATAGGTAGAGAAAAGGTAAAAGTGCAAAAATTCTACTGTAGAGATGTAAGAATTGTACTGATGTGTATATATTTATAGAAACCGTTTTAATAACACCACGAAGCATCACTGGTTACAGCAGCTGCCTTTACTTGTAATCGAACCCAGTGCGTTGAGTTTATGAGAAGTCTCCAGTTGGTTAGCAATACAGAACAAGAAATCCGCTGTTTGGTTCAACCACTTGGCCAGGGTCAGTTCGAAAACACCCTATGAAATCACGTCAGTCAGTTGTGTGTTGAAACTTACAGCAGGCAACGATGCCATTGGAACTGACGAAGGTAGTGGTATCAGTATGGGACTCACACTGTCCAACGGAGATTGGAAGCACAAACTCGGGGTATTCAGTGATTGAAGGGTTACAGGTGTACCTCCATTGATCGATGTCGCCTCGTCACTCGGTTTGCTGGCTTCGATTTCCCCTCTCTCAGTGGAATTAGGAGGGGTGTGAAACTGATAAGACACTGAATCTTCCAGTGATCTTTGTCCGTTTAATAGATAATCTTTCTCCTTTAAGTAGATCTCTTCAGCTAATCTGGCAGCCGTTCCGGCACTGAGATATCGGGCACTCATCCGGACATACGGCTCTCCATGTTTCTTTTTCGCATTTCTCCGGCACGCCTTCAGATAAGCACAGATTCTCTCACGATGATAGGCATCTCCTAGTTCGGGGAAGTTTCGTGCCAAGGTTGAGCACAAAGTGTGAAGTAACGACTTCGGCTGATGAGAATAAGTCACTGATCGGTCCATGAAGCCATCAACCAACTTCCGCAAAACCAACTGTGCTTAGGTTAGCAGGCGGACCACTTGATGTGAGTACTTACGTTGTAGGTTATTTCCCTTTCTGAAAAGTGTTTGCGTTCCGTCTGTTCACCAAAGTTTTCGCTCAATTTTCCATCCTGAAACTTCTGAAAACGGAGATTAAGACGAAAGGTTAAAAACACATACATCCGTAATTACACTACCGTTTGTTTCCAACTCTTGCTCAGTAGACATCTGCCCACCAATTGACTAGAAAAATGAGTAGATTCACGTCTTGTACAAATGCTTACCGGAATTCCTGTCGAAGGATCATTTTGAGAATGAGTATTCTGTTGTATTGTCTTTATACCTATACATGTGGTTCCGAAATTCGACGAAGATGTCGGTTCGGTATCATGAGGTGATTTCTCAAACTCCAATGGTGATTCTGGCTGCACAATAACAAGTTCTCGTGTCTCCATTTCGGATTCCATTCTTTGAGGCCCCTTGTAAACACTGCTCGCCGAGACTATTTCTCTCATATGCCAACGCACATTTAAATCCACCTATCGCAGTGTGATTAACAGGCTGACCAGTGGTTAAATACCCACTCTAGTACAAAGCACGCGCTACAGTGCTATCGATCTAGGCAGTAGTTGGGCCCGTGCTTGTTACAGTTAAACGGGCTGTAATTATCGATCCATGGCTGGAAGCTCCCACCTTCATAACCTGAAGCGCATCCGACCAGCGTGAATCATGTGCCAAGTCAGTACTACTATTTACAGGACGTCTAGCCCTATATGCTACCAAAAGTCGAACACAAAACAATTGGTTCAATCTTGCTTTACATTTCCACCTTTACCAAACAGAGAAATCATTGTGGATCCAAACGGCTCCCATTGGGACGGTGTGACTTGCACGCATAGAGTGCTGGTAACGCTAACTCATCTGACAGACATTTATTAGTTCTTATATCGAAAATGACGTTTTTATGTTGCAGTGTTAGAAATAAATGGTCTGAAAAGAATGAATGAGTTATCAGTCAAAAATACCACGCAAGTAAACAGAGAAACAATCCGAATTTCCCCATGCTAGCGAAAAAACAAATGAATGATTGATTGACTGATTGACTGACTGACTGACTGACTGACTGACTGACTGACTGACTGACTGACTGACTGACTGACTGACTGACTGACTGACTGACTGACTGACTGACTGACTGACTGACTGACTGACTGACTGACTGACTGACTGACTGACTGACTGACTGACTGACTGACTGACTGACTGACTGACTGACTGACTGACTGACTGACTGACTGACTGACTGACTGACTGACTGACTGACTGACTGACTGACTGACTGACTGACTGACTGACTGACTGACTGACTGACTGACTGACTGACTGACTGACTGACTGACTGAAATCAATCAATCAATCAATCAGTGGATTATTAGAGTGCCCAGTAAGTTTTCGCCTCATTCAAGTCTTCTTCCTGGCGAGATAGATACATCCCTTTTCGTACCTTCCGCAAAAACCCAAACAACCAGAGACCAGCTCTTGTTGACCTCTTAACAAAGGTATAGAGTTTACTTAGGTCCCGTGTAGATTTGTGGAATTGTCATCTTAATCATTCTTTTTAAGTTATGCTGAGAAAGTGACCCGCACAATGACATAACATCAATTTTGTTTGATTAATGAGCGATTCCGATTTGATGGCAAGGTTGTAGAGCGTTTTACTAATGAATCCTAACGGATAGTCGTGCATTCACCTCCACACAAACATAGGTCACGGTAGGTCCACCTTGGTGCATGTACTGTGTTTTTAAACTTGAAAAACTGCCACATTTCAAACTAGCTATTAAGAAATAAGAGAAAATGTAACCTACAGGAACGTCAACAGGGTGACATAGGATTACAAGCTAGGTTGAGACTCATCACATGAAAAACCTGCTTATCTGCGCCACTGATCTAATCGAATGGGACTGTTTATAGTGAAACACTAGGTAAGATTGATGGAAACTCTTCGGTGACGTGTTTCTTGTGTACAATGTATTGCGATACTGGTTTATCGTGTCAACAGAAATACCAGGCAAACTGGTGCAGCACGCGCACTTGCAGAACAACATCTTAAAAGGGATTCAGTTGGGTCTCCCCTGAAAACCAACTTGGTATTCAAATGTGTGTATTTTGCTATCTACATAAATTACTTACGCTGGACATCACAGCAGAAAAACAATTCAAATAATAATACGATAAAAAACCCGTACGGTATGTCCCATAGTGAGCATATTTTTAAATCCGGTACACTAGCTCTGATGAACCAAAATGAGTCCAACGCTTCTGATAGCCATAGGTTAGGCCGACTTGTCTCCGTCACTGTCAATTCCAAAGTTTCTTTAGTGACATTAAAGGCAGGGTGAGTAGTATAATATGTATGGCTGTTTTCCAAAAGCTGAGCTCCGTATTATATTACCATATGGTCCGTTCTTGGTCATGTTCATCAGAGGCTGCTGTATAGGGGTTTTACTGTTCCAGAGGCCTCCACTACTACCAAAACTGTGATTTATTATAAACTTGTGCATAAATATTGATTTTTCAAAATCCTACTGAGTTTCAGCTAAAGTCAAAATCCTTTCGGACACATGAGATTGTGAATTTGCTGGAAAGCAGCAAACAAGTCTCAACACCGGATTAAATTTCGCAACTAGAAAAAAAGTCAAAAAAATTTTATATTAGGAATTATTTTTTCGACGAAGGATACTGAAAACTCTTCTGCAGTTCACAAATGGTTTGATTCTCCTTTGGGCACATCAAGTAGGCAAGTTTTCGCCAAACTCATGTTCGATTTGAATCCAGATTGTACGCAACTCGCAAAATACAACCAGTTGCAAACAAACTCATTTTAAAAATGAGTTTATTTCACGGACTGTGTAAAATCTGGGTTCAATAGAACATAAGTTTGACGGAAGCTTAGCACCTTATCCTACCTGACGAGCCCCAAGGAGTTTGAAACCGGTCGTTGGCTGTGGAAGAGTTTTCAGGCACTTTAAGAGTAGTGTGATCCATCAAGAAAATATATTGCAATATTTTAAATATCATCGCAAATGAATCACAAGGCGGTCTTCGTGCAGGGCGTTTACCTGATGAGTATCATAACGAAAGACCCAGCTGGATTCTGTCTAGTCTTGAAGATGAATGTACTTTGCTAATTTGAGTCTACTTTTGAATTTCCAACAACTGATGATTCGTATGGACAAAAACCCTGACGTTAGCAGCTGCGATCACCGTCCTTACTGCCCTTCCTATTCTAGTGAGATTAGCCTCAGCTGTGAATGATATTCGCAAAACGCTTAGACACGAAGTCTTCACTTTTTTGTCACTGCACATTTCTTTTGGTAAACGGCGACGGTTAACAAAATGAGTGTCGTAAGGAAGGAGGCAATCGATAAGGGATGAGCTACCTGGATGTGAAGTGCACAAGTCTTCATACATGGAAAGATACATCCGTATCGTTTCACGGGCTGTTGCGATAGGGACAAAAATAATCCACATCGGTGACGGCAGAAGCGCTTAACTCTGCAGGCTGGTGAGGGTGTCATCAACTGTGCCGCTGGCTACACCGACCTAGCCTTATATATGACAAATATCTACGCGCAAGCCTCTCAGCTTCGGCTTTGACGATCCAAAATTTCTTAAGCATAACAGCCAGAACATGCGACGTGCCCATGTGTCCTTCCGACTCATGGTAGTGTTTAATCAAGTAGTGCGCAACGGGATGTCGCCTGGGAAGTATGATGGGGTGTCTGCAGGTTTGGGACAAACCACCATTTTTCAGTCTTCCTCCGACAAACATCAGTCCCTCAAGAAGCAGTGGACAGAGTGTTGGCTGACCTCAAATTCTGGACCTTACCGGGACGTGATTCTCCGGTGAGGGAACTTTATATCTGCTGAAAGACGAGTCGTTGTACGCATTGCATTATTGAATATTCTAATGCTCTCAGTTCATCAAGCCACAGAACACCAGGTGAGAGCATAAACTTCTTTTCCTTGTTCGATTTACGTGGAAAAACAATTCATCCCCATTACGGCTTGTTTCATCCTAGTCCATGAAGAATAGTAGGAGAGCAGTTTGTCAAATGCTAATTCTTCCAGAACACTGGTGTTCGAAACATTAGACTCCTTGACTTCGAGGCCTGGTATATCATTGACTAATATTCAATTTCGGTCGCGTGTACTCTAGGCACTGTAGAAAGGCTAAGACATGGGAAGAAATGTCCAGAACGTCCATGCGGCTACTAGCGACTCCCCTTCTAGACTTCTGAAACCGCTACTGTGACCTCCACGATTTAGGCAATCACGACCACGGCCACTGAAGCCTCTGGCCCCTTGAGGAGAAAAACTCCGTTCCCCATATCAGTTTGAGTCAAAACATATTCTGTCCTGGCTTCCAGGCTGGTATTTTGGAAGGAGTTGATTTGCTCTTTTCTCGCGGCTGTCCATTTAACATCTCCTCATCATGAGCACCCTCTACCCCCTCTCCTGGCCCTCTTTCTCATCGTCATCCTCATCATTCCCATCTTCATCATCGTCATCTTCATCTCTGTCAGTCTCACCGGCAGATTCTTCCCTTTTCACAACATCTGCAATCTCATCTACTCCACAGTTCCATGGTACTTATATGTCATAATCTGACTGTTAGCCGTCAACTTTGTCCCTTTTCTCAGAATTACTACCAACCTGAGAGGTATTCTCAGAATTTTCGGATGATATTGGCGCCGTTTCGTCCAATGTGGGCTGCTTTTCTGGCACCAATGTATTTTCCGTGCAAATTTCTTCAAAGAACTGACTGTCATTAAGCCTCTAGCTCTTCGCCATCATACGCTTTCAGAGAGCTGACTGGGCAAAGACAGAAGATGGAAATTTCACAATTGCAGACTCTTCGCGGGTACTGTCATGTCTCCGTAGCAAGGGGATTTTCGACGCCTCCTGATAAGCCCTACGCAAGTTAGATTCCAAACAATCAAATGATATATACCTGGTCGGATTTCTAACGGGATCCCAAAGTACATACTGACTCGGACAAGATGACTGCAAAATAGTGAAACTTACACGTTGATTCAAGCGAAACATGCGATGATAAGGTTAGAGAGTGGTTTACGTTCAGATCAAAAGCAAAAAGGCCAGTATAGGCGCACAACCAAAGCAACAAAAAGAGGAATGACGTTGTACACAATAAGAACAAAAGAACAATATCAACAATCAGCTCATCACTCCGATGATGAGGCTCCACTTTGAGTCGAATTCCGGTACTGTGGGATTTTCCCTTTGCAAAATCACTCTATAAAATCAGTCCCCCAATAAAATACAATAAATTATTACGTAAACATAAAAGGAAAGTTGCACATTAGCCATATTCTAATTCGTTTATCAGCAATTTTCCTCAACTGTCGCTTAACATGGCCGTCACCGGCAACCCGGTCACAATGTTGCTTGACACGAAGCCGACATTACTAGGTACACGCTACTTCGCAAC